CTAGAGGAAGATGGTGGTGTGGACTCTGGTCCAGGGTGTTTCATGCGGGATTTGTGGGAGTTCTGAGGGTTCATATATCAGCGTATACCAATTCAATTTGTTTGACAATGAACTCTGCTCAAGGGCTTAGATTGCGGGGTATAGTTGTAGTTCCCTGCCTGGAAGAGAAATGATCGTCTACCAACAGATCCCTTGCTGCAAGTCTAACCCTAGACGGACCAACGCTTAAAGAGATATGCTTCGGTAATGGTCACAAGACTGGAACTTCAACTGGCAGTTCGAAGAAAGCCAACGTACTTGACATATTTTGGGCCCATTATTGCTCTGTAACCACTAGTATAGGCTAAGCTAGAGTGGCACTGAGACCTAGCATATGTTGTACGTATGAACTAGAGATATATCCTTGAGTTCCGCAGCACGGTTGTATACATTACTCTATCAACTCGATTCAACCCCGTACCATTATTGTTATTGTTAATCTTCTTTCCTATCCCCATATAAGTTTAGGCCTTTCAATATATCTAGAACTGGAAGGCTGGGGAAATACTTGGTATTTCTCGTGCTGTATAGATGGCGATCAAGCTACCCCAGCCTTAGATTGCACCACACCATATGGCACCCCTTGGTATGAGATCCTTAGTATAACAAGGCGTAAGAAATGCTTTATAGGCACCAGAAATGATCTTGATGTTCGCCACAGCCCTATAGACCGATCCCCACCAAAACAAACCGGAAAGGGATGGCATTCCAGCATGTCGCGAGGAGTCGTGCTATTGGGCTACCATACTGGGTCTTCTCATCGATGAGTTATAAGTTTTTCATTGTACGGTCGAACCATTCTTGTGGACTTTCGGCAACTATTAGAAAAATGAAGCCATCTCGCAGCCACCTAGTTAGCACGATCAACGATACTGAATGACAGGATAGCCCTCCCACCTTGCCATAAAGACTGATAAAGCTCTCCCCTAGGCAAGTTTTGAACTATTTGTCTCGAGAATTTCCAATGCTTACTAGTAGGCATTCCCCAGCCAAGGTAGAGACATGCTTCCTTAGGCAAAGTATTGATGCTTCGCTGTTAGGGCTATCGGAATGCAACATTCTCCAAAACGCCCCTGGGGTCTCAGCGGAATACCAACAGGCGACTTTCGAGTTCACTTATACGGGGCTGGGAGTGATCTAGACAATTCTTGCCGCCAGTTAAGAATCGCGATGCGCCAGTTCTTGAAGTTGTATCGCGTTCTCCGTCACCGGCTCACCCAGGTCACGAATACAACACAATCTTTCTAATATTACCTTACTTTCCTTAAAGTCCAACCAACTATTCACCTTCTTTTATTATCACAATGTATTTTTCCAAGGGTGTTATTGCCGTGACGGCTTCCTTCGTGTCCCTTGGTCTCGCTGCCGACCCTCTGTCCTTCACTTCCTGGCCCAAGGAACCTCTCCAACCTGGCAAGCCGGTCACCCTCACATGGACTGGTGCGGCTCCTGGTCAGGTAATACGCATCTTTTCCAATGTCTCATAACAAATCTGACCCCGTTTAGCCTGTGACCATCCTCCTCCGCCAAGGTTCCTCGGGCGATCTGCAGGATGTCAAGCCAATTACTACGGATGGAAAGGGCGGCACCTTCACCTGGACTCCTGACAACGATGTCAAATCGGGCGATACCTATGCCTTCCAGATCTTGCAGAAAGACCAGACTAACTATACCGCTCTGCTGAAGTCGGCCGGCAAGCCCGCGGCTGATATTCCCGAAGCTAAGGATACCACCGAAACTGGCACTGCTACTTCTACTGCTGCAACCACTGGTACCTCTACTGGTGCTACTGATACCTCCACTGGTACTTCTGGCACCACCACTGGCACCGAAAACACTACTGGCACCAGTACTGGTACGACTGCCCAGACCACTGATGCCCCTAACACCCAGACCACTGGTACTACCGAGACAACGCATGGAACCCACACCACAATGACTAGCACTGCCAGCAAGGCCCTCATCAACTCTGCTGTCAACTCATCAGGCAGCCCTTCTAGCTCTTCTCACGTCAGCTCAACCGATAAGTCGATGGCTACCAGCACCGAGGTTGTCGATGGTAAAAAAGCACCCTCCACCGGAAGCGTGCAGACTGGTGCTGCTTCTATCCCGCAATACTCCGTACAATTGGTAATGGGTATTGCCAGTCTGTTGGCCTGCCTTGTCTAGGTCCATCATCTGTTTTGGCGTTGTCGGTCTTATCTTCGGGGTTTGGTGGAGTTCGAAAACAAAATGGTATAACTTCCTGTACATAAAATACCCCTGAATATCATTGATATATAGGTCGCCAGAGGCATTGAGGAAGTAATCAATTCACATTTAGCATATTCAATGCATCACAAAAAAAAAGCAAATAAAGAAAAAGCAAAGAAAAGAAAACAAGACCTGTCGCTCGCCGCTAGCGCCGTGGCGCTCCCTGACGGACGCGGAGTTGGAACACAAAGAACGATGATCGACTGATCTCCCACTTCTTCAACCCTTTACCGCTACTTCATTGTTTTGGATTATTCTGCTGAGGTCATTTGTTTTAGTGATCTTTGATGATCTTTGAAGATCTCATGAGACAGCGCCTTTATCGATCAGAGGCACTCCTTGCGATGTCTAGATGAATAAGCAACACCATAAGACAACGACCTCACATCTTGCTCAATTGACTTCTAATACTGGTATGCGCCTTTCCCTTCACAGGCTCACTACTTTTTGCTCCCATCTTGCTCTTCCCATCTGGTTCCTCATGACAGGCGCGGGTGGTCACCATGGGGGGCTTCAAACGGGTCATGAAGCGTCTCAGCCCTAGCAAAAATCTCATGCCGATTGCTGCTGACCCCCCTATCCGTGCAGAAGCGCCACAAGTCAATCTCCCGCATGTGGACACGCAATTGAATATGCACCAGCATAACGGACTCCTCGACGACGAACCAGCCACCGAAGGCCAGAATGGTTGGTGATTCCAATCCCACTCCCTCTACCTTCCAAGCTTACAATCTCCACCCTGCAGGTGACTATAACCAAACCCTCTCGTCTCATTCAAACCCTCCGAACCCATCCGCTACCTCCGTCGACACGAGCAATGGCGATTCCCACACATCAGAATGGTCAGCGGTTGGCCATGCAGCGACAGGGAAATCCGGACGTGTGATCCACAATCTCCAGGAAGAAATAGCACGGTTAACGCGTGAATGCACACTCTACAAGTCCCGCTCGGAGGAGTACCAGAGAACCAACGAGGCCTACAAGATCCAGCAGCAAAACATGAACGAGCGTCTACGGAACCTCGAGCAAGTCAACGAGACCAACCTCAACTCAATTGCACGGAAAGACCGGAAGCTGGAGGAAATGAGAATAGAGCTTCAGCATGAGCGCACCAAGCGTCAGGACGCGGAAATGAACTCAAACCAGACCAACCATACTATGCAGGAGGAGCGCGAGAATCACAATCGAGAACAGGCCCGGTCACTAGAGATCGCCAAACACTACGAGACACAGTACGATGTATTGTCCGGCACTTTGAAACGCGACAAGGCGGAGTTTGCAAAACGCATCAATGCCATATGGGCCGAGTTCACGACTCTCGCCAACGCGCAGAAAACACATATACTCTCCACCGAGCGGCTGGAGGTTCTTGCAGATCAGAAGAACAGGGGATTCGACTCCCTCAAGGAATCTTATGACAAGCTGCTCGCCCAGCACTCCGCATATAAGAAAATGAAGGATAACGACTTCCGCGAGACAATTGAGTCGGCCAAGGCCAGCAATGATATGGTCGCTGGGGTTCTTGCTCAGCTCAAGGAGACCGAGACAGAAATGAAATGGGCAATCCGGCTCAATGCAAGTCGACAAAGCAGCGAACAAAACGGCGAATAATTCGTGTTGTCTCTTGTTTGTGTCAACCCCAGACCTCAATCATGCGAAGTATCTCTCTCCACCCCCTCTTCTTTCTGTTCTCTGCTCAGATTCCTCAAAATCTACCACCGAATTGATGCCGGACAATACTTTTCCCGTCCCAACTCCCGTCTTGACAACCATCCTACCACTCTTGTTCATTTCTCATAGACCATTCTTGGCCGGTGCATGGCGTTTCATTTCAATTTGCAGCAGATACCCGTGGCAGAGTTCAATTCCGGTCATGTGCCCTTCGATTTTTGTATTCCTGTATTCTTACTTACACCTGCATTTTCACCCTTTTCCTGTTGTACTGTTACCCCCTTGTTGGATATGGCGTTTGACGACCTGCATATTTTTACCTGGACATGATTACACCGTGGTGAACATGGCAAGTCTTGTTTCTTGCTTGTGTTCAAAGGGCTTCTAAAGAGTGGCTGCATATTTCCTTTCTGCCTAGATGTTATGGGCATTTTATTACGCTTGACTCAGAAATTTATACTCTTTCAACTTTACTTGACTTGCCTGCCCTATGTATTCACTCCGCATATTCCTGAATTGCTATACTCCAATCTCATCGTCCTGGATACAAGATAGCACTGCGCGCGTTCACATTCCGTCACTTGCTACTGACTTCCAAATTTGATATACGCGGTTGTTCCTTCCATCGTCGCTGAATAATAGAAATCATATTCATTTGACTCTCATCATCTTCCTCTCTCTTCTCTCTTCCTCGTCTTTCGTCCGTTATCTTCATCTCGTGTGCACCGTTCACGACAGTCTGTTCTATCAAATCGATTATCTAGGTGAGCTTCATCTTGTTCTTCTCTACTCGACTTGCCTTCACCTACCTCTTACTTAGTTGATTGTCTCCTCCTGGGTCCAATCAACCCACTGCTTGCTTGATTGCTTCTTCCATTCACGTTTCAACCTAATTAACGTCTTCAAATAGATTGAAAGCCCAAAACCTTCCGTCTCCGGGTTAGTGGATCCGTCCACCTGACGTCGGTCTCCAATCGCTTCACATCCATCCCACGTCAATACATTCAAGTCCGCATAGCTCTCAAACACCGTCCAAGATGGCTAATAGCCGGACACTTCATTTGACTTCAATGTGGTCACTGGAAGACCAAGGAGTAAGTCTACACTTTAACATCATGTTCATCATGTTCATCATTCTATATGACTGGGGCTGACCAGACTCGATATAGATCCCAGAAATCCGAGACAAACTCAAGTACGCATACTATTCATGTATATTATCTTGATCAAAACTGACTTCTCATAGAGCATTGAATCCCGGTGCTTCGATCAAGGTCGAATATCAACGTGATAAACACGTAGGTTTTTCTGTACTATTCGTACTATTTGCAATGACTTTGCTAATCGTGTCTAGATCTTGGTTGTTACGGGTCAATTCGATGAGGAATTTGATGTCGAAATCACATCGCTGCTTGCGGATTACATTGAAGAGCATCGCAATGATGATCTGCTCGAGGTATGTCTTGATTCCTCCCCAATTTCTAAGTTATATTGACCTAATATCTGCTTCACCCAAGACGACGAGAATTCGTCAACTTCCAATCTCTACCTTCTCCGACCCCAATCCCTTTCCTAGCCACGGAAGCGATGCGCTCCCAGAGACGGAAACCCTAGTAGAGGACATTGCCCCGGTACAACCCACTAGCGATGGACTCATTGTCAAATTCTGGTATCCCTCGCAGATGGGAACGGGCCCCATCTCTCATGACTCGGACGCTCTTCTACTTCGCATTTCCAAAATGACAAAAACACAAATCACAGTGGAGGGAGCCCGAGGGCTCCGTATCTCTGCACAATACATGAACAACATTGATGAGGCAATGGATATACTCGACTGCCTCGAAGAATGTTTGGTACAGTCCCGAGTCCTTGTTTCGAAGTCCTGTATGTTAATACTTTCTAGGATCTCATTGAGAACGCAAACCGAGGACTGATCGTCTTTACTCCACAACGGGAGGACGCTACCTTTCGCATCATGACATATGCACAGATCAGCGCCACTGCCTTGTGGCGTATTTTAATCGACCGAAATGCCTCTCTTCGTCTCCCAAAGATAATGACTCTGGTCGTCTGCGAATTCGACGAGTCAGCTAACCAATATTGTCCACTTCGCAAACTTCGTCAGCCACCGCAAGTGGCCCGGAAAGCGAGCATTACTAGAGACTGGGAAGATTATCATTTTCCAGAGATCGGTCCGAGAAACGATCCCCTTCTGGGGGATATTGATCAGCATATCGCGCCTAAAGGTGAGACCTCTTACGAGAGGAATGACACTAAGCACCCGTATCTCTCGACTGGTAAGGTAAAAGATGTCGACAAATGGATCTCTCGGGGTGTCGCCAAACGGCCTATGGCAAGCAACATCCATACAAGAGCATCACTGGAAGATGATACCACCTCCCCTACGCTTGATAAATCCAAGCTCCAACCTGCGCCCAGCGTTTCCGCCCCACGGGAGAAGAGACAGTCCGTTTCATTCAAGCCCAATCCCGCTGGCGTCAAAGGACGCGTGATTATGCTACAAGATGGGACTGTACCCATTAACCAGTCTCAACAAGAAAAGCCAGACACTCCTCATAGCCCAAATATCTCTCTGTTTGGCAGACTCAGCTACAGAGAGAGAATGAGGGAGCAACAAGTAGCCGGTTCGTCTATCTCAGTTCCTCAACAAAAAGGACTGGCGAGTATGGTCCGTAGCGCAGCTGACTTTACTGCTTCAAATGCAGCTTCCAAACAACCGGAAACAATGTCTGAGGCAATCGTCCCTGTGGCTTCTATCTCTACTAGGGAATCAGTTTCAAATGCCACCCCTCGTCGCCCAGTCCTATCCACTCATCCGGGCACAGCACCCAAACAGCCGGGGGAAACGTCCCATGATTTGGCTATCTCTCCCGCTAACCGAGAAGAGAAACTAACTAGCCCTCTGAGCCCACCAATTCGTTCTCCAAGAGTCAAGAAGGGCCAGCTTTTCGGCACACTCGAGCCAGTGAATTTACAGGTGAATACAAAGGCTCAAGGGCGAAGTGTTGATTCAGTGATGGGAGAGATAAAGCTAATTCTTGAGAAGACCAAGATCACGAGGGAAACTGGAATAGACGAAGTGTCCAACAAGCCAACGATAAGGGATCAAAAGCAGCCAAGTGCCACATCCACTCGGCTGGATCGCAGCGAAAGAGAAAAGGAGAACACCAGCCCCCTCATCGATCTTGATTGTGAAGTGAGCAGTCTCAACAGTGGCTTACAACACATTGTTGCGTTCGATCCGCTAGCCACAGTCCGATCAAGTGGTCCGGAGCAATCTACATATGCTCAGCATGGTCAATTACAGCATACCAAGGCTCGCAATTTTACTGAAACTGGTGATATTTTCGATATGCCCAATATCGAGGATACAGCTATGCAGCCTCAGCTAACTGAGAGTTTCTCTCTTTATCCCGACCTAACTAAAGATCCGATGCTGCTCCGTGCAACGACTCCAGCCTCTGTTACTAGTGAGCCTGCCCAACTAGGGCTCGCTACAAGTGCGCCATTGCCTGATTCGGAAGTTTCTGGCTCCGATCATAAGAGCGCCGCATCGGAAGACGAAAAGGAACATGAACAGGCCCCTGGATTCCGCAGCAAGGCCGATGAGGTAGCACTGGAATATTTGCTCCAGCAAATCAAGGAAAATTCTACTCCAAGAATTCCCAGCATTGAGGAGATTGCGATACCTCTTGATGCTAGCCTTTGTGATCCTGCACCTCGAGCTCTGTCTTTTAGCTCTGGTGGCAGTGCTCCGCACGGTGGTATCCAGCAACGTCAACACGTTGGTCAGTGGGTTGAGAATGTGCCATCTCTTCGCCCGGACCTCATTGATATCTCACCTCAGATGCTTTATCCTCGCTTGCCTAATCTTTTGCAATCGAACTCTGAAGATGGTGAGCAATATACGGAAGCAAAAGTTATTGAAAAGCTGGCTGTCTCGGACGAAACTGAGACAAGAGAATTCCAGAGGTCAATGTATCATCAGCGGCCTTGCGACAAATCCTTTCAATGGGTGGATGAAGTGACTAAGGCAGTGGGAAGGGCAAAGATTGAAGTCCACACTGCTAATTCCGGGGAGGGAAAGGAAAACAGCGCAACCAATGCAGAGAACGGAGAGAACGTTCAAGCCCCCATTGCTAATAACTGGCAGCGAAGAACAGGATCAAAAGCAAAAGAAGCACAGCCACAAAAAAGCACTGCTTTGTCCATGAAGATGGCTGCGAAATTAAGAGAAAAGAAGCAGATGCATGAATCAACAGAGAATTTGTTTCGTTTCCTTCAACCAATCCTTGATGCGGTTCGCAGCTTCCCTGGAGCAATGAGCCTTGAAATCCAGTTCGGGCTTATGTTCATGCCCAGCCTGCCGGCTTCAACCAAAGAGAGGGAGATGAGCTACAGGGAGGTTCACCAGCTGTTCTTCTCTAAGAATAACTTGACGCCGCCTCCAATCTCATTCTTCGAGCGCTTGACTACATCTCCTGCCGATATTGACTACCTCATCGATTTGGAGGTCAACCAATCTCGTCTGTTCGACCGAAAGTACAGCCACCGAGGCGTAAAGTACGAATTCTGGTGCCGCGTTGGTCCGAACAGAACCATTGTTATTTCAGTCAATGAATATGGACACGCTATGATCCGCTATCCTGAGGTCTCCCTAGGCACTGTGCACTTGAGTTGCCCTTCACAAGTCTGGGATGCAGCTGCTAGGGTACATGGCTACGTCGAATACATTACGGGGGCTGACCCGGAGCTTGACGAAGCTGCACGAATGATGGCGAGAAGCATCCGAGTAGAGCCAAACAATAAACATCTCCGTATGTTGGTCCGTGTTCCTCCGGCGTCAAAAATCAGAATTGAGAAGGTGTTCATGGAACGATGGAGCCGTCACCCTTATCGCTCGGAAAAGAGCAAAGACTTGTTTCTCCAAATAAGCGAAAGCCAAGAACTCCTCGCCACCCCATCCATCTTGGATCCTGGTATCATGGTTTTGCAGAACGCCTCGCTTGAGAAGATGGTCAAGGATGGAAAGCAGTGGTGGCAGGCCTCGATTGTCAGCAGCAAAGTGGAGGACATCATGAAATCAAATTCCTTCCTTGAACCCGGTGATCGCAACGAGTCATGGTGTGCGACAGATCTTCTCGGTGCAGATGTCAGGAGGGTCCTTCCCTCTAATGCAAACCAGAAGCTGAGCACCCTCGGAGGCGAAGTCGGCCATTCAGGAATTGGAGCAATGTTGCAACTTGCCAAAACCGTGGTGCAGAAAATCGATGCTGTCGGGTATTGGAACAGAGGTCCTGCGAGTCTTGACAAGCGCGCTAACACGTCGATCGGTCGCAGCCAGGGTGGTACAGGTATGGTCAAGGCGCCATCCACCTTGGGCAAACAAATGGTTCCCTGGAATCAGCCAACTGAATTGAAGGGAAAGCACAAGTGGTGATGAGACAGGGATGAAGATGGATCTCGGGGGTTGGAGTGGAAACGGGACAGATTGTATCATTTCCATTGTCGTCTGGTTCCTAGGATCTTCCTGGGTCCTATGTGTACCCAGACGACATGAGACTGCATTTTAAGACAAAAAAAAAATTTAAAAAACAATGTTTGATTACTTCATGGAATTTTGTAGTTTGGCCCTATGGTTTTAGCTCTATCTACAGTATTATTGAGTATTCCAGTCCGTTTTATAGAAGATGCTCTGGGCTGAGGTAGTGAAGTTTATACCATAGGTGTATTGACGGAGCAGATGTAATTGTTATAAAAAGCACGCAGGTGTAGCCAGTGAGGTAGTGAGGTAGGTATTATGTACAGATTCAACACATTTCTCTCCTACTTTACTAGGGAAGACTCCATCTCGCAACTTATTTGGTATAGATCTCGCCGGTGAAGTGGCTCAATGCGTGTGTTGACCTAGTAGCGATGGGCCCTGTTGTTTTGCCTCTCCAATTTTCAATCCTGATTTCTAGCCGAGATCGATTGGTCCAGAGAGGTAAGCATATGTTAATAGAGATCTACTAGATGGATGGTCTCGTGAGAGAAAAGACAGGAGTAGAGTCTGTTGGGCTGCGTTCGCCTTCTTCTTAGGACATTCAAACGTCATATGTCCTTTCTCTTGCAGTACAAGCATCGGCCCTCCTTCATCAGGGTCTCCCGTTCTGTGGCTGACAGTCCGGACGACGACGTAGTTCCTTCACGCTTCACACGTGGGGTGTAGGACTAGCTGGTGGTAGTGCCAGCTCCGCTTCCGAATGAAGTTGCTGTACGGGCACGTGCAGGTGCCTGTCGCCTCCTGCTGGAGATTGATCTCATGCGACATGCTCTGGCAGCTCTTGCTGATAATGGACAAGGAGGAGAGGACAAGGGAGGAAGGACGGAACTATCTGGTCTATCTAATAGTGGGATCTGGCCCCACTGGGTGACCGCCTTGCCGGCCACCCAACATATCTTCGCATTGCCATCATGAGGGTTCATGTTCCACCAGTAGCTCAGGGGACGAAACATGATCCTGGAGGCCCTGTCACGCTGGTAGCTCAGGGGAAGATAGATGATGTATTGTCTATGATAGTAGCGGGGCTATAGCTATGTAGTCACGTGGGTAACAGGCCCCCTGTGGATAGAAAAGGGGTGTAGGTGTTCCTGGCTGGCATCCTAGAGACGGCGTTGAGGATGCGGGAGTAAAGCTGTTCGGGGTGGTCAACTCCAATCTGCATATCCCGCAGAGGTTGCGCGATCGTACGCCGAAGCTCACTTTGCTTAGCAGTGGACACTAGAGGATCCTCATCGACCCAGGGTATCTTCAACTCTCCAATCAGCTTGAGTTTGGTTGTGCCATTTGTGTCTTGGAGCCCTATAACGTCGGGGATGTTTTCGGGGCCCGTGGCTCCCGGCTCCCATTCTTCGCTCAGCTGGCGTGAAGACTTGAGACTCTCCGATCGCGGTGGAGAATGCGGTGGAGCGTAGCGGGTCTCTGATGATCTGATCTAACAGTTCAACCAAAATCGGACATCGGAATTCAATTTTGATTCACTGCCAATGAAAAGTCGGGTCTGTTGGAGGTCCCGTGCTTCGGCTTGGGGTTCTTGCAATGTTTGTGATGGTTCCATTTTAACAGAATCCGATTCGGGGAACCTCTGCTTTGTGCGCCTCTGACGAGGAGGAATGCACCTGTTTTCCGGAAGACCTTCTTTGTAGTAATAGGATTTTCAATATGCTGGAGGTATTCTTAGAGCTCGCCAACCCACGATTTCGGGGGCAATGGTTGAAGTCTTTTTTCGGTTTTCCGTTAACGCTCCCAATGATAGGAGTCCTATCCCTTAAGGGCGAAATTCGCCATGCCGACGACTTCCAGGCAAACGGAATACCCTTGAATTCGGTTTGGTCTTCCTGCAGATCGTTTTCTGCTCTTCTCACGTCCTTATCCTCTTTCGTATTTGTGATATCAGGAGATTTGTAGGTCGTTCTCGTGCGTAAGGCCAGGTATTTCAAACTTATCGGTGAAGTAATGGCCCTTTGCGGTAATGTGAAACCAGCCTCGCTCTCGTCTTCGATGGTGAATTTGGACACGGAGGTCGTCAATGTCGGGGATTTCTTCCATTTTCTCGAATCTCTTCGCCTAGGTGTGCCAACGGCAATCGTAGAGTGGAAACGGCGGATAGGTTAGCATCGGCATAGACTTAAGCGTGTTCCAGTTTTCGCGAAGAGCAACAGCCCGGACCCGCGTGTACAGCTTAACGATCCCCGTGTGCAGCGTTGATGAAGAGTTCGATGGATTTCTTCTGCGCCTCATTGAACCATTCCAGCGATGACTTGGCTACATCAAACCCATAGACGTAGGGGACAACCTTGATGCCCAGCGAGCCTGGTATCTATCTGCGCCGGCAGTTCATTCGGACGAGCTCAGCCACATCCTCAAGAATAAATTCGCTCGGCGCAGAATCGCGGTTGGTTGGAGGTATAGTGATCATTAAAGTTTTTGTGGGTGGGTGTATTTTCGCTGCTATACCGGGAGCTGGATGACCCATCGCGTATTGAACGCCGCCCATTCGGGATTGCAAGAGAGAGAGGCCCGAGGGATTCTGCTCCGTCGCAGTGCTGGAGGGGCACTAAGGCTAGAAGTTAGAAAGAGATAAATAAAAAAGAGATTGAAATAAAAGGGAACCAAACTTACAGGACAGAGAAGCCCACAGAGAAAAACAGGACATCTTGATCATGATTGTTGATATATTGAAATGATGCAGTTCTTATATGCTCCCCAAGACTGTTTTGTAGACTGGGAAGTGATGGAAGCTTGGAAGGTAGTTGACGAGGACTTTATATAACGGAGATTGTGGTCACTTGATATATTTCCATCTCGTGGAACGCGCGAGGCATTTCTAAGTGAGACTAGACGCTGTGGGTGCAGGTCAATCATATATAGAGCTCTTTCTATGAAGATATAGTCAAGTCATTTCCGAATTTGATATATAAACGTTCTCAGAAAGTATTATCATTCTCCTTGGGTTTACAATTACTATTATAGCTGTCCTGACTCAGCCATTGTTCTGCTTGCTTGCTCCCTGTTTGCTATTTTCTTTGTCCATAGAATGTTTACTAGCTAAGCGAGATGTTTGATATTCACTCTCAACTTGCTCTCTCTTTCTTCTCTCAGTCTTAGTTGGTTTGAATTAGATGTACTCTTACTCTTCGGATCTGGCACATTACAGTCACAGCAGAGGTGTCACAATTTTATACTGCACTCGAATTCCTTCTGCGATTACACCAACGAGAACTGGAAAGCCCGATGTCCATCTATGCTCAATATATGATAATAAACAACCTCTAAATTTAATGCGAGTATATTTTTCTATTAACCCAAAAATAATCATTCTTCCTCGTCCGGTGCATCATCCACACAACGCAGCCAAGCGGCTCGGGCATCAACCGCCGCCTTCCGTACATTACGCTTAGGGTCGTCAAGAACGGCCCGCAAGGACCTCAGAACCTGATTCTTGACAGGCAATAGAGGCGAGATACCCGGCGGAGCATTAGCTGCAGCGCCGGGCACCTGGTGCGTAGCGAGGAGATTGAGACATTTCAAAGCATCGGCGCGGAGACGGGGGCTGTTAACCGCGCCAGGGCCGATATTTGTAGATGTTGTTTTGAGGAGTCTTGTGGCGAGGCTCTGGACGTGGCCGCACCGGTCGATGACGGTGACACCGTTGTCACGGATAATGACGGCGAGGGTGTCGAGCGTTGCTGTGCGCACGGCGACCGAGTCGGCGGTATGGAGGTCGAGGGATTGCAGGAGGAGGGGGAGCAGGGTGGGGAGTTCAGGCATGACTAGGGCCGTGGGGATTGTGGAGAGGATACCCGCGAGGGCGGTTAGGTGCGCCGGTTTAATATGGTCGGGCGCTTTTGGGGTGGGGTGGGAGCCATCTGTGCCGGCGATGTTCACCTCGCGAATGCGAGTGGAGATCAAAGGGATGACTGTTGTGAAGAGGCGCTGCCTGCACAGGAGGCGGATTGTAGCGCCATTGGTTGCGGAGATGATGTCGTCTTCGCCTAGAATTATGGAGAAGCCTTGTGCTGCCGTCGCGCTGGTTTCTTGGTCTAGGGAGGAGAGGAGAGCGAGGAGGGAGGTCAGGATGTGAGTGGTTGCGGGGGCTAAGCGAAGGATCAAGGCTTTAGATAGCCAGAAGATGGTGCGAATTATAGGAGGACTGAGGCTCTGTAATTCTGTGTTCTCGCCTTCGAGGAGAGAATCAATGAGTCTCTCGGCGATTGGCACATCCTGCTTCGACAGGAACTTGTTGACGAGCAAGGCCAGGTGGCGCAGGTAGGCTTGATGTGTTGCTGGTTCGGTGCTCAAGACACAACGATAGATCAGATCCAATAGCAACCCCGACATGTCTGGGTCGGTGTGCGGGATTTTGTTACCACAGTCCTTGGATAATCCCGCGAGCAGGTATGTCGAGATAATGATCGTACGTTCTCGATCGGCGTCTCTAGTCTGAGTAAACGGAAGAGGCACGAAGTCTTCAGCTGCAGAGAAGAGGCTGTAGACGTTTTCGGCAACTTGTTCCTGTTTCTGAATGGAAACAGACCGCACAAGGAGATTACAAAGTCGACCCAACGTGTCAAGCACGGTAGGATCATTGAGAATCCGATTCTTGGCCTTGCCAGAAGCCGATGCTGCGACATCGCGGCAAAGTCCAACCACAACCTTGTCAAAGTACAAATCCACACTCTGGTCTTGTTCCATGTTTCTTTGTTGCATAACATAAAGCAAGGTGGCAAGGATCGCACGTGGGTAAGCAACTGACCCGGGTTCCTCCTTTTGCAGCAGAACGGACAGTTTGCTGAAAAGACGACGGAAAAGTGTCTCGAAGATGTCCCTCTCGACGCTGATCTGGGCAAGGGTCTCGAGCGTCGGCAGATACCGGGCATCCGACCCTTCATCTTCCTCTGGCAGAGTTGCCACAAATGCAGGGAAAGTGATATCCACAATCAGGCGGGGCTTGTGCTTGGAAATCTCAGCAAGAGCAGCAATTGCCTCTTTCTTGAGATCATCCCGGCCCACGGACTCCTCCTTGAGAAGGATTTCGTCAAGGTATTGTACGAAAAGCCCAATCTCATTCTCCTGGAAGTAATCACGCAAAGTCGACAGACGCAAGAAGCCTTTCAAGGCAGTCACCCGGAAGGAAACCTCTTCCTTTGCTGCACCCATCAATGCCTGACCAAAAAGGTCTGAGAATTGGTCTTTAAATTCGAGTAGCGGGTTTTCGATAGCCGCCTCACCACCTCGGGTGGTCCACTGTCCAAACACGGTTGTAGCAGAATCGAACAAGACATTCAAAGTTTCCAGAAGCGCTCTTTGTTTGACGATTCCGTCTGCTTCTTGGTAAAGTGTGAAAATCGGAGGTACGACTGTTTGTACAACAAGGACAAAGGAAACGGGCGAAGCAGCAGACACACAGCTGAGAATCGATTGGGCCGGCTTGGCCTTCTTGTTTTGGGGCTCCCGGAGTTGCTCATTGCACTCCTTGGTGATTGGCTGAAGGTACTTTGCAAGAGGCAATTCTTGCGACACTTCGGTAACGCCTTCAGATAACCGTTGGGCAATTGCTTGCAGAGCCTCGAGGGAGGCTTCGGATAAGAACTCCTCTTGGGCATTGAGAATCTCAAACTTGAGGACTCCCCATATGGTAATGGAATACCTGGACACTGTGTCGGGGTCGTATGAATGGATACATGCGATCAATGCATTAAGTGCATCTTTCTATAGATCTATTAGATGACTTTCGAATCATGGAGTGTCGGGCAATTTTACCTTTACATTAGGAGAAGTAGAATCAAGCTTGTCCAATAAGGCGGGGATAGAGTGGGGCGCAAAATGCCTTGTCGAAGAGATACACTCTTGAAGACGACCCTTCAGATCCTGTGCGGTGATTCCATAAGGGTCATTGGGCGGAGGTCGGAATGTGATTGGGAAGTAGTTATATACCGAGTCGAAGAGAGTCTGTCTAGTGTTAGCGGGATCACCGAGCTTGGGAAATTACACATACCTCAACGTGGTTCGAGATGTCCCATTCCACCATGACCACTTTCAGGATCGAGAATACAATCATCAAATTTCTCGGGTCTTTCTCTCCCGTCATAATATCAACAACACCCAGAAGCGAGATATCTCCCATATCACGCATAGCTCCGCGGTGGTTTGACATCAAGTCATTAAGCAATTCATAGACATGGAATCGTTGTGTTTGAGACCGAGACTGGAGATCTTGAAAGTTGGAAAAAAGTCTATATCAATAAATCAGCACTGGGTCATCTTGAGTTAAGCTTTATCCCCGGCGAATACAGGGATTTAAAAGTATAGCACCTACGCTTGCGCTACTTGGGTAGCCAAAAACTTGTTAAAACGGTCCAAGCCCTGCAGGGCCTGCAGCCCATCAACAGCACCTCCATCCTCAATTCTATCACAGAAGAATGTAGTCAGGACTTGAATCTGTTGTCTCGAGAGGTATTTCGGCGAGAGGGCTTGGATAATGGCCGTAAGGAAGGAAATCGCTTTTCCACGTAAGATCGGGTCTTCATCGTTAATATATTCGCCGAGAGATTGGACGGTATCAAGCAAAGTCACTTTTTTAATCTCAATATCTATCGCTTCCGTTAGTAATGCAACGATTTGAAGTGGGCTCGAGTGCGGGGCGAATTAGCATACCATGCGCGCTTCCCTCGGCAATGCGCTTGGCTTCTTCTTTGTCGTGGTCCACGACCAGCATAAAGGTCTGCAAAGCCGACATGATACCAATTGATCAATTGGGAGACCCAGGTGTAGATTGCGGGGGGAAAGATCAAGATCACATCGGCCAATTTCTTGTGGCCGGATGCCCTTATCGATAAAGATCAGGTGATTCTGTTATCTCTCCACATCACGTGCCACTGCCTGTTGCGTCATGGTTGTAGACCTGCTTCGCTGCCCAGCATCATTGGCAGCAAGATGGCTCCAACCCGCAGCATGAAATCGAATCGACTAACATCCATTTTATTTACTTTTCTTCTCGCTACATCTGCATCTGCACTTTGGGGCCTATCATCTCCCTTCCCTTCGCGTCAACAGCCACTAGCTCTCGAGCACCAAGAGCACCGATCCATAATGGATAAGATTCTCCCTGGTGTTGTCCAGCCACAGAAGACGGTTCCGAATGAGGATTTGACCTCGAAAGACAGCGCTAGCCCTGTCATTTCAGATGTCCTGCCCAAGACCAAGGGCATCAATATCTTTGCGCGGTTGACCCGTGACTTTGATCCCATCGCCAGCCGCCTTAACGATGCGTCCAAGAACATAACAGTTCTAGCACCACGCAACAGTGCAATCCAGGCTCTTCCACGGAAGCCCTGGGAGAATCCAGAGGATTACAAGAAGTTCGGGGAGGTAAATGCATATGAGGGCCAGGATGGTCAAGACCGGGCGAAGCGGAATCTACAGCGATTTGTAGAGGCCCATCTCATCCCGGTTAGTCCTTGGAGAGTTGGAGAAGAGGTTGAGACTCTTGCAGGGGAGAAGTTGAAATGGACGAAGGAGGGTGATAAGATCTTTGTAGGTTTTATCCTCTACAAGTCATTGGTATGGTAACTGACTGTCTATAGATCCAACCTGGCAATATTGAAGTTGATTCAATTGCGGAGAAGGTCAATAATGGGGAAGTCTGGATTTTGAACGATGTTATTAATTACCATCAAGAGTGATTAATATGAGTTATGAAGTACGAGTCATGGAAAATGAGCAATATAAATCATTCGAGAAGACACGAGTAAATCATGTAGTCACGAGAGTACGACTTGTTTACAAAGATGGCACATTCTATTCTGTATGCTATCCAAAACCAGTGATGACCTCAAGGCAGGTATATACACCAACACTAGACATCACATGGGACATCAAAACGGAAATTAGATCCCTACGGGAGCAAAATTTTGCAAGATTCTCTCTTCCACTCCATCGAGAATGCAGAAGTGCTCCATCACCTCCAGGTTCTCCGCTTCGTTCAGATACAACTTGTCGGGATCCTGGCCGGGCTGGAGCGGGTTGACCATTGCGGCAGGGTTAGCCATACCCATCTGCTGGGCCATTTGATTGGCAGCTACAAATATTAGTGAGAACTCTTATTGGGAAGGTCAGATAGATGCATACCGTTATCACTGCCGAGGATGAATCCAAAAACGGACTGAAGGCCCATCAAGTTGAGGAAGTACCACGAAAGACTGGAGACCCATTGCACATCGAGGTCGCGAGTCATGACACCAGACTGCAGCATCGACTTGAACCGGATAGTAAGCGGGAAGGGCAATTTCACTTCAGAATTTGTAAGCTCGTTGCTCATGTTTTATACCAAATTGCAACATACAGATGACAAAGCCAGAAAAGAAGGCATTGATCCAACTCATGATCAGGGTTTGCGGGATCATCATCATCATGTTTCCCTTAAGCATTCCCATCATAGCTTCCATGCCCGCAGGATCGGTCATGGGGTTCGCGGGCGGTTGGCCGCGATTGTTGGGATCCTTGAGAAATGCGCCATTGCGGAATCCAGTAACCATGTAGTTCTTGCGCATCTCAAAGGACTCGCGGTCGAGCACGGAGCAGGCATTGTTGCGGAGATTCACACCGCGGAGAAGAGCAAGGCGCTCGCGAGACTCGGCAAGAGTGGATGGCGCCTTGGGGGTCGTGTTCATGAGGACCGTAGCATAGTGGCGAAGGATTCCAGTCAGTATCTATCCAATAAGAGAGGTTAGTTCCAGTCTCAGAGGCATCGCGAATATTTAGCTTCAAGCACCGAGTGCAGATCATACCATAACAATTGAAATGGGAAATAGAATCCAATAGCTATAAGCAAATGGTCAGTCCAACTTCCGCTTGATCGAATCATGTTCTCTCACAATAATGCCGGATCCCTAAGGATGGTCTGATCAGCCCCTTGAATTGCCATGTTGAGGCAGAATAAGAATCGAAGAAGTGCCTCCTTCGAACCAACAATAAATCAGTGGTGGCTGCAGGTGGGGGATGGAAAGTTGAAGGGGCCGCGAAGGAGAGGTTGCCAGGCGGAGAGGGATGTCATTGGCCCGCGTTAGCTCCAGCTTTCTCCAAAGGGCCACGCCGCATCTTTGTCCTGCGGTAAACAACAGTCTGCTGAACCACACTCGGTCTTTTGGTTTTTAAAAAGCTCTTTACTCGCATCTCGAATATATTATGGCTTCCAGCAAGGTGCCGGTCTACTCGACCAATGGTCCGTAATCCCGCTATACTCTATACAGCAACAACACTAACGGCGTGAGCAACAGATCTCAAATCTACGAGCGACGATGCTCTGCTTCCTTATCTCACCAACCTTCCCGCGCCATACGCTTTTACACCGGACTACTCGAAGACGAACATTCGCTTCTTGCTTGGATATAGTGCTGTCGCAATTGCAGGGTTTACTTTCTATGCAGACCGCAGGCTTGGCTGGGAAGCAACTACCTCGCCCTGGATTATCGCGGCAGTAGGGACATACTTCTTCTTGAACGCCATTCTCACATACTGGATTTGGGCCGTCGAGGCTGGCGAGGTATATTCCGGGAAGAGGAAGACTGGGGAGACGGTATGTCAATTAGTCTTCGTTCTGATATTCTTTTTTTGGCCAGGTAACTAACAGGACTTGTTTATAGATATCTGTGTCATCGTCAACCAAAAAGTTCTCCAAGCTCTACAAGTTGCATGTCATTTATAAGTCCGCCTCTGGCAAGGTTCTCCAGGACAAGCGGTGCGAGGCGCCCTTCACAACTTGGTTCTCGGTAGACGGTGTATTCCATCCAGAGCCTTTCCGTCGCTGGGTGGCCAGCGAAATTGATGTTTTGAGATTGGCGGCGAAGGAAAATGAGAAGAAGTCTGGCTAAAATGGAAGGTTACCTATCAATTACTATCAGATATTATGTTTTCAGGGCTATTGCAAACCGCAAAGCTAGTTCATTCTCTAAGAGAGATCGAGGAGAGTGCATTGGTATTATATGTTCAAACCAAGGAAGAGGTCGGTCTTCTGTGTTTTTCTTTTCATTAGGCATAGTTAATCAGAAGCATCCCAACAGTGTACGTGACTTGATCACTATCGACCGGCAGTCCAAGCAATCTCGTATGCAACACCTGCACCTCACTCGACATGAGAGAAAAACTATTCTATGGTGGGTGTCTTAGCCTGATCTGTTAGAATGTGATGTCCTGGCTAGGGCTATTGAGCTCACGTGGATCTCTTCCTGGAGCTGTACTGCACTTTCCCAACTTGAAGAGACCTCGGGTTGACTCGAACCTTCCAAGTCAGAGCCTGGGGCTTAATGACGTTAGACTTCGGACAACTTTGCACCTCACTGCTCAACCGCTCTTAGACTGTATGGTTTGACTCTCAATCAAGTTCGAACCATCAAAACTCCTTCACAACTATCTTCCACAGTCGTGAAGACCACCAACATGGGATACATTGTATCTACTCTGCGTCGACCTCGTGGTAAGCTCTCACACCGCCGAATCCCGGTGTTTGAGTGAGAAACTGAACTAACAATCCGATCATTTCAGCTCTCCCGGAGTTCCCAGTAGTCATTGCCTGGGTTTCCCCCGAAGACATTGTCTCGCTTGTGGATGCCACCGAGACCCTTGAAATCAAGGGACTGGAAGCCTGTTCAGTCACTATAGAACAGATGACCAATGCAACAACTACGCCGTTCGTGGATGAGTCTGGAGGAAAAGAAACAGAGCGCACCGCCGAACAATATTCACATGGCTATTTCTACTGTATCCAGACAAAGAGACTCGACCGGCGTGTGAATTACACCTGCTGTATCCGCCTCGTCGTCCTGGCACCCGGGCTTCAGGTCCCACGGCGCATGATCGGAATCGTGGGTCCTAGCGCTATAAGCCCTTACGTTCAAGTCATTCTCGTGCCGAAGACGCCTGTGTTTCCTGTAGAACTCCTCCAGAAGATCACTATCAGTGATAATAGTCAACTGTCAGCGATTGAGTCGCTGAGGTATATTCTGACTGGGGCTGATGAGTTCGCAGATTGGGAGAGTGACTGGGGCGATCTGATCATTTGGTGGCTTCTTCTGTTGAAGCCCTATTGGTTCCTGGTTGCGTTTTCTCTTGTATTTTTTCCCCTGTTAGTCCTTGTCATCGTTCTTGTCTTTGTTCGTTAAGCTTGTGTCAAGGTGAACTGAATGGCTCTTTGCGCGTTGCAGGTTTGAGTGTTATCAGTCCCAATTATTCTCGGGGCAATTTGTTAGTATATTAATATCATCCTTCGAGCCCGCCAGGAGTTTTCTATTGAGGTATTATGCAAAGTCAGAGTGTAAACAACAAGCTATGGTATTAAACAAGAAACAGTCCTTGTTAGAAGAATAGACAAAGGCAACCGAGCCAATCTCTATAAGTTCCAACCATGGAATGCGACTGGATATCTAAGCACAGGAAACAAAAGAAGAAACATAAGTTTCAGAGTATAATCGAAATGGCTAATAACAAACAGAATATCTATAATTTTTTACGAAATGGCCAGCTCAATGCATGGCCATTGAGATTGAATTTCAACCGGTGGTGACCGACCTACGATGATGCCTCGAGGGTGCCAGGTCGTTCCGTAGCCTCGGCGGGCTTGACATCGTCCATTCGCTTGTTCTGGATGAGTCTCTGTAAATTTGTCATGTTAGATATTGCCAAGTACCACTGAGCATGTGAATGAAGTATAGAGATGAAACATACTAGCAAGTTCCGCAACAGAACAACAATGGTAACCTTTCCAATAGAGGGAACGAAAAGCGAGGCCTTGTCTCGGACCTCATAGGGGAAGTTCTATATCAGACCAGTCAGCAAGAACCTCTTAACCAGACTCAAGAACGCAGACATACCTTCTCGCTAGAGAAGTTGACACAAACAGCACCCTCACGCAGAAGGCTCGTATCGAACTTGTACTTTTCACTGGGAACACCAGTGATAACCACATCACAAAGCGGCACAACATCCTTCAAAGTCTTTCCCTCAAGATCAACAACCTCATGCGTGTTCTTCTGCAATCCCTCGCCACGAGTGAACTTCTGCACACCAGTAATATCAACCGAGTAAACACAAGCGCCGTCGTTAGCCAGCAGAGCAGCAAGCGGACGACCCACGACCTCAGAGCGGTTCACAACACAGATCGTGTGTCCGAAGAGACGGTTGCCGTAGGGCAGGATTGTGTTGTAGATGTTGAGGTACTCGAGGATCTTGATGTTCGCCAGCGGAGTGCAGGGCAGGATGGATTTCTGGCGCTTGGCCTCGCCGTCCAGGAAGCGGATGTTCTGGTACATGTTGAAGATGTAGCGGTGGCTCAGGCCCTCGACGTCTTTGGTCACGTCGACGATCTGCTGCAGGTACTGGTCTTGACGGGTGCCGAAGATCGGGTAGTAGATAATTATGCCGTCGACGTCGTTGTCGGTGTTTGCGTTCAGGATGGCCTGTTCGATATCGTCGCGGGACACCTCGCGCATGGTGTACTTGAAGCCGCTGGGAAAGGCATTGCGTTAGTCGGTTGTTTCAATTGGATTGTTGGTTGTGTTTTGAGGTGTTGGCTGTGCTTTTAAGGTCGTTCTAGGCTTTTTTGGGGGTTTTTTTTTGTTGGCGGAGGGGTATGAATGAATCATACTAGCTACCCCCACCAAAGAAGCCATTGGATCCATTGGATCCATTGAAACCGGATAATCAGAATATTATAGAGACTCACTTCTCCTCGCAGGTCTTCTGCGTCATCTGCGCGTACATCAGCGCAGCAGGGTCATTGTTGGCCAGGAGGCCGACCAAGTGAGGCGGCTTCTCGAGAGTCTTAAGGCCCTCGTGGACTTCGGTGAGGAGATGGTTGGCAACATTCTTGCTCAACATCACCTTGCAGGAGGAGGGAGGCTTATCGGTAGGGGCAGACATGACGGCGATAGAACGATAATGACAATATAATCAGTAACAGAGAGAAAAGCGAAGTTGCTTGCACGCGGGGACTTGGTGATCTCCGGGAAAATCTTGATCGCTTATCGATAACAGATCGGATGCCGGTTTCGGCCTCTACTACCGGGTCGTCGTGTCTTTTCAATGATATGCCGGGGTATAGAATGTCATAAAAATGGGCATGGAACTAGGCTTATAGTCATTTCCGTCGGTCGATTGGCGTGTATCTAGACTGAAGTTGCCATGTTTCGCATATCTCCAGCCCGGTACATCCGATATGATACTACGTCTAGCAGTCGTGCAAAACAAAGCTACAGTCTAGAATTACGATATAACAATGAACAAATGAAAATAATTGAGGTCCAACATGGAGAGCATAAGGAGACCAGACGGAATTAGAACGGTCGTCCACCCATCACGCGCCCCCGATGCGCGGATAAAATCTAAACGTACAGGATATAATCACATTTTGGCAGACCAAAGTCATTTGAGTTCTCGCTCGAACAGCACTACGAGAAATCCTTGGTCCGCCCCCCAGGATCATGCAGATAATTACATCGCTACATCCAGGGGCAGACTGAGATCTCCTGCCAGGCACCGGCACCAAGAAGAACAGAAAAACAATGGGCTCAAAATTGTACAGGCTATCTTGTCTATACACATAGAGTCAAGAAAACAAAGCCGACCACGAAGGATCATCCGAGTTGTTTCTTCACTTATGCGTTGAAGGTGGCGTTGAAGGCAGCGATGGTCTTCTTGAGGGTGGCCTCACTCTCCTTGGAGACCTGGCCCTCCTTCTCAATGGTAGCCTGGATCTCGGGGTGGGTGCTCTTGAGGTGAGCAAGGAGGTCAGACTCCCAGGTGAGGATCTTGTCGACGGGGATGGTGTCGAGGAGACCGTTAACACCGGCGAAGATGAGAGGAACCATGTCGGTAACGGACATGGGGGAGTACTGCTTCTGCTTGAGGAGCTCAGTCAGACGCTCACCACGGGCAAGGGTCTGCTTGGTGGAGGCATCAAGATCGGAACCGAACTGAGCGAAGGCAGCGACCTCACGGTACTGAGCCAAGAAAAGCTTGAGGGAACCGGCGACCTGCTTCATGGCCTTGACCTGGGCGGCGGAACCGACACGGGACACGGACAGACCGACGTTAATGGCGGGACGGATACCCTTGTAGAACAGCTCGGACTCCAAGAAGATCTGACCGTCAGTGATGGAAATGACGTTGGTGGGAATGTAAGCGGACACATCACCACCCTGGGTCTCAATGATGGGCAGGGCAGTCAAGGAACCAGCACCGTGAGTCTTGTTCATCTTGGCGGCACGCTCGAGGAGACGAGAGTGCAGGTAGAAAACGTCACCGGGGTAGGCCTCACGTCCGGGGGGACGACGGAGCAGCAGAGACATCTGACGGTAGGCAACGGCCTGCTTGGACAGATCATCGTAGACGATGACGGCGTGACGGCCGTTGTCACGGAACCACTCACCCATGGCGCAGCCAGTGAAGGGAGCAATGTACTGCAGGGGGGCGGCCTCGGAGGCGGTGGCAGCGACGATAATCGAGTACTTCATGGCATCCTGCTCCTCAAGGGTCTTGACGAGCTGAGCGACAGTCGAACGCTTCTGACCAACGGCAACGTAGATACAGTAGAGCTTCTCCTCCTCGGTAGAGCCGGACTTGTTGTTCCAACGCTTCTGGTTGAGCATGGTGTCGAGAGCGACAGCGGTCTTACCGGTCTGACGATCACCAATGATCAACTCACGCTGACCACGACCAATGGGCACCATGGAGTCGACACACTTCAAACCAGTTTGCACTGGCTGGCTGACGGACTGACGGGGCAGAATACCGGGAGCCTTAAGCTGGGCACGGCGAGTCTCCTTGGTGCCAAGGGGACCCTTGCCATCAATGGGGTTACCGAGACCATCGACGACACGGCCGAGAAGCTCGGGACCGACGGGGACATCGACCTGGGGATCGTGTTAGAGATTTTCCATACGTGGATAGATTCAATGTCCAAGTATAAGAATGAACCTAGGGGTTGGATTGAAGTGCTTACAATCTCGCCGGTACGCTTGACAGTCTCACCCTCCTTGACGAGACGGTCGGAACCGAAAAGCACGACACCGACCTGGCCAGCCTCGAGGTTCATGCACATACCCTTAACGCCGGAGGCGAACCTGAAGATAAGTTAGTTTTTGAATAGGCATAATGCCAAGACTTTGGGGGTTCACGTACTCAACCAGCTCCTCAGCCTGGACGTTGGTCATGCCGTGGACACGGGCGATACCATCACTGTTTGAAGTTCAATTAGTTTCTGTATCGGTATTTTTTCGAATGTTGAGAAATAATGGCGGATTCAATGGCATTGTAACCGGGGACCGAATTTTTCTTCGCGCCCCCAGCCGCCTAGGGAGAATTGACGTACCCGACCGACAGGACACGACCAGTCTCAGCGAGACCAGCCTCCTCAGAGACACCACGGATGCGCTGCTCAAGGATGGAGGAGACCTCAGTAGGGGTAGCCTTGGCCTCGGAAGCGTACGAGCGAACGCCGTTGAGAGGACCGGCAGCAGCCGCGCGGACCTGTAATTGACGAAAAACCTGTTAATGACCATCCCAGAGAAGGACAATGCGTCCTAGCTATTGTTGAAGTATTATTGTCGAGGTGTGAGGAGGTATGAGGATCAATCGAGCTCAGGATTGAGATGAAGGATGTCGAACTGGCGATGGACGAAGGCGGCTGGGATGGGATAGACTCACCGAGGCGATGCGGCCAGTGGCCGAAACAGCCGCAACGGAGCGGCTGGACGACCGCAGAGCGTTTCTGAACATTGTGAAAGGGGGTTCAGAGGATGAGAGGATGAATTCTCTGAGGGAGAGATGTAATTGGGGAGAGGAGAACGGGAGAGGAGAGAGGGATTGTGGACGGGAGGGAGAGCTTTGTCGTCGGGGGGAGGATTGGATTCTCAGGACTCGCGCTAAACCGTTTCGGACCCTGGGCCCTCCGAGGTGGCCCTAGTGTAGCCACGGTGTATCTCCTACGACTTTTCTTAGTCCTACAATGTTATATGTATTTTTTTCCCTTTCCTATATTTCGATTTCTACAAATTCTCCCAATTTTTCAAAATATTATACAAGCCCAGAATGAGTTGCTTCCATTTGCATTGCCGACCGGAAGAGTGTGCCACGGGTGTCCTTCCGTTTTTTTCTCTTCTCGGATCGGCGGAATTCCTGGTCAGGTGAATCGCTTATGTCATGGCTTTCGTCACGGCAACCGAAGACGGGCGGTTTGTATACTTTGTATGCTGATATTTTTATCTACGGAGTACGCAGTATTATTTGCTTGTTTCCAAGTCGATTGACTTGGCATTGCCATACTACCATACAATAGAATCACACATTGGCCCCAAACAGCAACGACCACTCCACGGGAAAGGGAAGCATATCCCAATTGGCCAAAGACAATGCGAAATGACACTCGCAAAAGGATAAAAATGCACTGGAAATCGCTTGCTAATAACAGGACATATGAATCAACGCGCCCATGGAACCACTGAAGCTTCCAACATCAACCGCGACAACCCGAGAACATACGGCCCTCGATCTTGGCGAGCAATACCTCCCCTTGCTGCGTGCTGCACCCACACCAGCATTTACTGCTCCGCCTTGCCCTTGCCCTTCCCCTGCTTCCGGAACTTCAGAATCTCCAGCTCCACGCCCTTTTCGAACCGCTCCTTGAGCTGTGGGCGATATCCGAAGAAGAACAGAACCTCCATCCAGACAAATAGCGGCGCAAGCAGGAGAGCCTGAACAAGGTTATCCAGCAAGGCAGGCGCACGCTTCTCAAACACGCCGTGTCCGACAAACTGCGCCAGCCAGGACACGACGTGGATGCCCCCGGCCCAGTAGTTCGCGGTGCTTCCGTAAGTGCCGAGGAAGTAGTTTCCGTAGTATGCAGCCGAGATCAGGGCGGGTGCGAGTAGACCGCCGGCAATGGGCTCTAGGAGGATATAGAAAGTAGCGTAAATAAGAGCGCCGATTGTGCCGGCATTCGCGGGCAGGTATTCGATTCGGATAATGTCCGGGAGGGTGAACAGTGGTGGGCAGTTGCAGGCCTTGGAAGTCACTATTAGTACTTTTGTACATTGGGGATATCTTGTTCGGTTGTAAGATGCCGAGATGCACGTACGAGGACGATGCCGGTAAACAGTAGGATTGGGACGCAGGTGATGTGGATTGCGACGTTGACCTACGCTGTTAGTGAGCGTTTATATTATTCGAGATGAGGGTAGGGCGGATGTACGGGATTGCTATGGTAGGCTCCATACTAGATCACAGTCAGCTCTAGTCGTTCTGGGAATTGGATGCGGATACTTACGAAGAGTAACTGTTTCTCAAGATTAAGCGCCATCTTGCCGGTTTGGGAACAAAAAGATGGGGAATTCTAGAGGAAGAGTTTTGCGGGGTGATGGGATCAGGCAAGTGGCATTCTCATTATCGGAAAGCGTTGAGTGGTGCAATTGATCTTCGTCCTGGCCCTGGCGTCATGTGCTTAGAAGACGTTGGTCTTGGCATCGTAACGGTATACACCAACCCGCCATGCACAAGCCTATCAGATCATCTACATTTATAGTTTTACCACGAGATCCTACATTACCTAGGGACAGGTAATTGATTATATACATAGTAGTTTTAATTGGGATTCTCTTTCGTATCTCATTAAATTGGTCGTTAACTACGGAGTATATAATACTCCAGTGAGGCTTTAGACTATTTTCCTACAAGTTTAGGTATTTTTCTTACATTGTCCGTAGAGCTATAGGATGAAGATCTAGTATGCCTTCCAGTTGCCAGTTTAGCACTCGGTTGTAATGTAAATCTTGAAATTGACGACAACAGTTTGGAGTAGAGTGATATATATATAGCTAGCGGTATACATTCAAGCCGATTTTTGAAACCCAATAACTAGTCAACGTTAGCCGGTCAAGGCTATATACAGCATAAAAATGATATTATGAGCTGAATCGAGAGCGAAAAGTCAGGAGAGTTCGCTATTTACTTCTGTACATGTTGTTTGGTCTGCTATAGATCATCCAATCATTCCTCACATAAGAACTAATCCTCATCAGGTCATGGCTAAATCATCATCAAGCGCAATATTGACTACATATTCTATTAACTAATATACTAGACACAAATGAAGTTGCAATGTCTTTAAACGTGCAAATCTCAAGTCAACTTCTCACCGTTAAAGAATCGTACCACGTGACTCCACCCACCCAAACTTGGCCCACGAGATGGCTCTTGACGAAAGGAAAGCTTGCGCCTGCAGCAACGTATCTGCCTCCTCGTTCAAGATCCAAGGCAGATACAATCTCTGCCACTCCCACGGGTACTCGGATCTCATTTCGCTCATTTCTAGCAGCCACGTCCCACATCTTGTTTGTGCTTCACCGTTGCAGGTCATGCGCGCGTGGTCGAAAACGCCGTCCCTCGACCTCGATTGACAGCATCACTGTCCTGAAAGCGACTTGAATATTTCCACTCCGCAATTCGGCATTAGCGCATTTTCATTCAACCATAACCGCGACGATGTTCTTCCTCAAAGAAGAGACCAAGGTGATCTCTATGCACCCGTCCTATTTCGGACCCAACATGCGAGAGTACCTCATCGGTCGACTCAACGAAGAGGAAGAGGGACGGTGCACAGGTGATCACTTTGTGATCTGTGTAATGGACATGGTTGATATTGGCGAGGGGCGGGTGATGCCTGGAATCGGACAGGCGGAATACACAATCAGATATCGTGCGATCATCTGGAAGCCGTTCCGTGGCGAGACGGTATGCGCTTGGAATACAAGGTTTTTGCCTTTGGCTTCCTGCTGACTGAGCTTAGGTCGATGCCATTGTTACCTCCGTTAAGCCCACGGGTATCTTCACCCTGGCGGGCCCATTGTCTGTCTTCATTGCGCGAAAGGTATGTTTTGTTTCATCTGACCATGGATCTCTGAGTTTCGCTGCTGACAGCCAATAAGAACATTCCCTCCGATATCAAATGGGAGCCTAACACCGTGCCGCCGCAATACACTGATCATGCCGATCAAGTGATTGAGAAAGGAACCAGTTTGCGGTTGAAGATCCTCGGTGTCAAGCCCGACGTGGCTGCTATCAATGCCATTGGCACCATCAAGGAGGATTATCTTGGGTAAGTCGTTCGACCACTCCCAGTACATGTGATCTTTTCTAACGTGGTTTCCGTCAACAGACCTTTGTAATGAGACACGATTGCAACACATACCCACCTTTTTCGCCCATACGATAATTTACCATGCTATCTATCGTTCCTCAAAGATACGACAAGTGCTTAGAAGGGCTTTACTGCCTTACAGAAAAAAAAATGAATTGGCCGGTCAGGAGCTGGAGTTTTGACAAGTCCCTACTCGGTACATATGCCATACTTCGACTTTGGCTATACTTCAATGAAAGACCAATCATGTCTTCTACACGAGAGTGTCTGATTTGAATACTCGGCATTGCAGACAGTTGAAATGACCCCCGACTCGCCAGAGATCGTGCCATCCACTGGAGGGGCATTTCAATCCAGTACTTCTGAAATGTACAATGTACATTATGCTGCATGCCCCCTGTGCAATCCATCCCCCTGTAGAGGTTGAAGCCTTTAAAGTGTATTCTCCAGATTCTCCAGTTACCGGAGAGACGCGAGGCCAAGCCCCAAGCCTAGCCCGTATGGTGAAACACTGGCGTGTTTTCAGACGGTTCCAGAAGATTTCAGGGACTTCAGCGTGTTTTCTATTGCATTTTCACTTCATTTTATATCTGCATTAACTAAATATGCAAGGTACCGATGACTAACTGGTTCTGGCGTTTCCCCTGTATATTATTTATGCCGAGTAATGTACGTTGGGACTCCCGCGCTTGGGCATCGTAGGACATCGCTTCCTTTCCCTTCTCCCCTTCTCTCTTTCCCCTTCTTAATTGGAAAATAGTTTCTTTGTAACTTCAATATCTTCTAGCTTACTTCTGGAGTATCCTAGAGTAGCTATCTTCTCTGGAATATCTTCCCCCTTTCAAACCCCCTGTCCCTATACGGTTGACAATGTCCTACTTCAAGACCGAATACCAGCGGTTCCTGGATAACCCCAAGGCTGCTAAGTTGGCCGACGATGTGTCCTTGATCTATGTTCCTACCACGACGAAGTTCGAGAAGTCCGACAACGTGATCACTCATGTGTTGAAGAACGCGAAGGTGGTCAAGACGAAATCGAACAAGGTCATCAGCGCCATTGAAGGATCAGACTCGCTATGTCTCGATATGGAGACAACCCTCGAATTCACCGAGGGTGGTGGGGTTTATCTCCCCTCACTCGACGATAATTTCCTGGCCGACCGTGTCGCGACCTTTCCCACGGTAAATTCCCCGACGCGCGTCGCTTATCAAAGCTAATGCATCATCCCGCAGATTCACATCGTCCACTTCGACACCAATCAACAGATCAAGCAGATCCGAATTTACTGGGATCAGGCCTCATTGCTGAAGCAAATCGAGGTTATTGGAGCGCGCGGACGCCAATGGCCCATTCGTGATGGAAAAGACCAACTCCGTCTCCTCAGAGATGCCGAGACGGCGCGTGCGACCCCCTCGCAGCCTTCTTCCCAGAATTTGGATACCGATCTCCCCCACCGCCCCTCATCCTCTGGCAAGCGCCGCATCAAGGACCCCTACGCAGCCGACTCCCTGACCGAGCTCATCTCGCCAGTCAAGGAGGTCGCTGAGCCCGAAAGCGGCGCGAAGACCCCCAGCAGACCATCCACAGCCAAGAAATATACCCCAGACCCCTACGGAGCGGGTTCTTTGACCGAGCTTCTGTCCCCTACCAAGAAGGCTCGCGCCCCTGTGGCTCCCTTTGCGCCCTCGGCTGGGCGACCTGCCGAGCGCAACTTCAGCGATATTTTCGTGAAGGATGATCACGTGCCCGACTCGCGCACCGGACCTGTCGATGAACACCGCCATTACTACAAAGCCGTCCCCGGAAAGTACGACCACTTCGAGATCGGCGGCGACAACTCGGAGCGCGAGGCCAAAGCAGAAGTGAGGCAGGCCAACACCAAACACGAAACCCACTGGGACTTCAACGACGTTGAGACCCCTGTGAAGGGCCAGCGCGTCCTACGCGGGCAAGAAGTACGCCACTTTGGCTTTGGCGATGACGAAGAAGGCACCGGATCCCCCCAAACCAAGCAGGACGTGGCCAAGCCCCGTCGCGACGCAGATCGCCATTTTGACATGACCGATTCAGAATCCGCGGACGAGGGGCGGATCATCAGCTCATTCGGGGGTCGCGGCAAGCGCCTCTACGAGAACCGCCTCTTCGACGACAACGGCCAGCCCCAGCTCTCCGAGCGCGAGCAGAAGGACGAGCCCCTGCCAACAGGCGGAAACGTCGCCAACCGCAAGAAGAACTTCGCTTCGCAATTCGACCTGACGGACGAATCGCCCGTCAAGGAGAACAAGCCTACCCAAAGACATGATGCGCACAATAAGATGATGGAGTCCCACTGGGATAACTACGACGAGCAGACCCCTCCTAAGCCTACCCAAAACCACGACAGACACAACAAGGCGATGGAGTCCCACTGGGGTAACTATGACGAACCGTCCCCCCCTCATCCTACCCAGCAGCATCACGCGCACAACAAGATGATGGAGTCCCACTGGGATAACTACGACGAGCCGACCCCTCCTAAGCCTACCCAAAACCACGACAAGCACAATAAGATGATGGAGCCACACTGGGGTAACTTTGACGACGCATCCCCCGAGCCGGTTAGGAGGAATGCCACTGCGCAGCGCAACCCCCTCGGCCACAACCAGCCCAGCTGGAACCATGGAGACAACAACTAAGTGAGCCAGTCGCCGGTCTAGGGCTTAGCTTGATACTACGTGTGTATCCTTGTCAGCGGCATCTTCTGACGGGCAACGGCCGACTTGTTCCGAATAATATGTATCGATACCCGCATTAATTTGGACATTTGTCCGCGAAACTGCAAAATCACAAAAAAAAAGACAATCGAGGCTGAAGGCTTTCCTTTTATTTCGCGCTTGGAAATTCAATGTTAGTTGGAGTCGAGTGTGGAATGCCTGGTCGGCGTGTACTATTCAAGCTTTTGCCTTCTTGTTTATTTCTGTACCTTGCCCTCAAAATGTTATTAGTGTACAAGTTTATTTCCATGAGAGCGGGATTCGTTTATCTCTTAATTTATGGTGTTATACTTCCGATTCCTCCAGCCTACTTTGGATAGCGTAGAACAGCATAGTACACCTACTAAGGGACCATAAAAGATGTCATCGTTTAAGATTCAATTGAGTCTCACAGCTAAGGTACTGTCTAA